TAACATAATGAAGGTCTTTGTGATTTTCTCGATGTGGTCTTAAGTAACATTCTATCAACATTCTTCTCACATACAAGGAAATTATTACCACTGCTAGTATTAAGTTACCTGGTGTGATTTACTTATGAGGTCTGATAGGCCCTAACATTCAGTCTGACGCAGTGGCCAACTTTTTCTTTGTACTGTGACCTGTCACTCATGCACAGGTTCTGTATTATCTCGAATTTATATCCAGTGCTTTTCCCCCATGGTCTTGCTATGGAAAATTTCAAGCATACATCAAATTTGGAAGATTTGTGTAGTGAACACCTGTATATCTACCACCCGGATTTTGCCGTTAACATTGCACTGTTCCGATTATCACGTATTCCCTCCCTCCAGCCTCCGTCAGACCCGTAATCCACTTACTTTGTTGGTGCTTTTCAAAACAAATTGCAGATGTCAGGACACTTCCTTTAAATACTTGTGTGTCATTAATTGGAGATCAGCACTTCTTCACAGTTTTTCTTTTGAGGTGGAATTTACGTAAATGAAATGCACATACCTTAACTGTAAATCTGCTGAGTTTTAACAAATAGACACACTCGTGTAAACCAAAGCTCTGTCAAAACATAGAACATTATTGTCACCCAGAACTTCCCTCGGTGCGGTGCGTTTATGGAGGGCTCACTCACCTTTACTGAGTAGAGAAGAATTAAGAGCTGTATTGTTTTCAGAGCCATGGCTCCGAGTAGCCACTGCTCTGTGGTGACTTTGACGAGAGGGTGGATGGGCTGTTCTGAGCTTGTAGTGGGAGGAGGCCGCTGTGTGGTTAGGGCCACACTTGGAAAAAGAAGCCACATGTGGCCTTCAGCTCTGTGGTCCAGTTACCACGTGGGTTGTGTCAGTGAAGTGCACTGACTTCATGGGTCTAACCCAGTGCTCTGAGAGAGAAGACCCGTGACCTGGAGTCCAGTCTTGCTGACGCTGTGCACGGCAGCAGAGGGACAGGGGGCACATCCTGGAGCCCTGGTGAGGTCCGTCCCGGCTGCACCTGCTGCTGCGGCGCTCCGTGGGCACGGTGGCCGCTAGCTGACGGTTCCTCTGGTGGAGGTCGCCTCCCACGGCACTGGCGACCGAGTCACTTGGGTGCATCTTCCAGTGAGGTCTGGTCAGTTGGGTGAGGAAAGACGATTTTGTTTTTGCTGTTTTGTGGCCTTCGAAGCAGCGGCGATGAGCACAGGCACCCCGCTTTAGACGTCGTTATCCCAAACCCGGTTCCGAGTGTGTGCTGGGGGTGGGCTGTGCTGTCGCGGGGCTCGCCCGGGGGCTGGGCAGGAGCCCCGCACCGCGATGTCCCCACCGCCATGTCCGCACCACGATGTCCGCGCCGCAATGTCCCCGTCACGTCGCGCTGTTCCGCCGCAAGAGAAGCCGTCCGCCCTCGCGTCTGTTTTCTGAGCTCTGTGGGCATTTTTGGCCGATTTGGGCGGAAGAGTGGACGGAGAGGCCGCTGGGTCTGCGCGGAGCTGCACCGCGAGCGGCGGCACCTGTGGGCTCTCCTGGCACCTGCGGGCTCGCCGGCACCTGCGGGCTCGCCTGGCACCTCCGGGCTCGCCGGCTGTGTGTGCAGACGGGGCACCCAAGCGCGTTCATCTGAGCACAGTCGTCCCAAAGACAAGGTGCAGGATGTGGTCGGCAGCCTGATAGGGATCTAGTTTTAAGCCCGCGTTTACACTAACAGGAGACATCAGAGAGGAACCTGGTTATTTACGGGAATTTTATATAATTGCTAAAAGGAGACTATATAAGGGAAAATAATATGCAAGAATTGCAGTCTTTCCCAATTTCTCTTTTTACTTTTATAACAGGGAACTTTAGGACTCAATTCTAATTTTTCAGTTTTTTATATGAAATAGACTTAAGATCCCCAAGTAATTTAAGAGAGAAAAAGTAACCACATTACTAATAAAATATAATGCATAATTAGCATTAAGAATCAATAGAGAAACACCAACTTTTTTAAAATGATGTGATGGCTGGCAGGTTAAAGCGTGGCATTGATGGCGCCAAGCTGCAGGGTTTGACCTCCGCTCGAGCCAGCTGTCAGAAATAAGAATAAATAAATGAATCTTTAAATTATGAGGAGATCCAGTCAAGATGGCAGAATAGATGGTCCCCAGCGTCACTCTCTCCCACAAATCAACCAATTTACAACTATAAAAAAGCAACAACAGGCAAGCTGGGGCCGCTGGAGCTCAGGGGAAGAGGAGGAGAGACCTACGGAGTTCATGAAGGTGGGAGAAACAACGATGGGAGAAAGAAAAAGCTGCTCGGAGCGTTTTGGGCTACTGGTCACTGCTGCACACTGCTGCCCCCAAGGATAGCTGCTGAGTTGAGCTTGATTTTGAACTTTATGTAAATGGAATTGCACAGCACATACTCTTTCATGTCTCCTCTTTTGCTCAAATTTACATTTGTGAGATCCATCCGTGCTGCTGCCCGAAGCTGTCGTTCACTCACGGTCTATTCATCCGTTCTGTTGATGGGCATTTGGGTAGTTTTCTGTGTGGGCTTAAATGTATCTCTTTTGGCTGTTTGGTTTTTTTTTTTTTTTCAGTGGCTGGCCAATGCGGGCCTTTGTGTCATAACATTGCACACTACCCAGCTGAGCTAACTGACCAGCCCAAATGATACCTCTTTTAATTGAAATTTGCTAGCTGTTTATTTCTAACTACTTTTTGTACATATACATGCAGTTAATACTTTGATTCTATATTCAGGAAACTTGATAAACTCTTACGAATTCTAATTACATATAGATCATTTTTTATTTTCTGTGAATCATGATTTTGTTTCTTCCTTTCTCATCTTTATACCTTGTATTTCTTTTTGTTGTCTTACTGCTCTGGCTGAGACCCCAAGTCCAGTGAGGAACAGAATCCGTGATGACGGGCATGTCCAGCCTCCTCTGGAGCCATCCACATCCTCCACCACGTGCCATGTTGGCAGTGTTTTGTGGATACCAAACCCATATTATGTTAAGGAAGTTTCTTCCTGGTCTTGGTTCTTTTAGAGTTTTTTTTTTTTTTTTAAGCAGGAATGAGTGTTCAATTTTATCAGAAGTTTTTTCTGTGTCTGTAGAGATGGTCATACAACTTTCCCCCCTTTTCTATGAGTGTGGTGACTTGTATTGACTGATTTTTTCTAATGCTATACTAACCTTGTATTCCTGGTATAAACCCAACTTGCTCTTGATGTGTTATCTTCATAATATATATTACTGGATTTGGTTTGTTAAGGTTTTATTTAGGATTTTTACATTCAAAATTGTGAGGGAGATTGGCATCGAAGTTGAATTAACTTCACAAAAGAAGTTGGGGCATGTATCATCTCTGTTTTCTGGATGTATTTGATCAAGAATAAAAGAGAGAAGGAACAAGTAACCGAAATGAAAAAAGAACCATCAACACAGATATTACAGACTGTGATAAAAAGATATTTTGAACATATTTATGCAAAATTGTGAACATTGAGATAAGGCACATAAATGTCCTAGAAAAATACACTGTATTGAAATTAACACAAGAAAATGTTAATACGCAGTCCTTTAAGCATTAAAGTTTTAAGTGTCAAGGAAACTGACTCGGTAATTAAAAACCTTTCCGCTGTGAAAACGCCAAGCCCAGATGGCTTCACCAGCTTGTACTAAACACTTAAGGAAGAAATAGCACCTATCTTACGTACATATTTTCAATAAAAGTTGGTTTATGCTGTACATATAATTTTAGAACCCGATTTCACTTTATACCATAGACTTTTCATTTAATTTTATATTCTCCTGTTATGTAATTATAATGGCAGAATGGTCTCCACTGTACGAGGGGTCTGTAATGGGTTGAAACAGTCCCCTCTTTTTTGGACATTTGGGTTCTTTCTTGCTTCCCCAAAATTATGAGGAGCTCTTCAGTGATTCATCCTCGTCATGTGCTTGCGTGTACGACCGTCCACTTAGGATCAATTCCTAGAAGAGTAATTTTGGGGACAAAGGCTGTGTGATGTATCAGTTTTGGTACATATTGCAAACTTTCCTTTTAGGAAAACTCGTTTATTTATGGTCCCACCAACAGTATATGACAGTGATTATTTCTTTAATTCTCACGAATGCCGGGTACTATTATTTTTTAATTATTTAGTACAAAGTCCAAACTTGTAGACCTTTTGGGAGTGCCTTCCGCGTCTGTCCCCTGCTGCATGGCCCTGCTCTCTCCCCTCTTCTTTCTCTAGCCACAGAGACACTCTTGCTCCTGAACTTGGTGATTCTGTCACATGTCACCTCCAGGCCTTCTGTCGGCCACAGCTGACTTACTTCCTCTTCAGGTTTCAGCTTGAATGTCATGTCCTACTGGAATCTTCTCTGACCACATAGACTAGGTTGGAGTCTGTGACGTATTTCCACATAGTTACAGATAGTTCCCATGTCTCATGGTTTATCATTCTTTTATAAGATTTACTTGCTTAATTAGTTACCTGTCTCTCTGAATAGGGCATAAGCTTCGTGAGATCAGAGCCTGTATTTGTCATCCTGTTGTATTCCTTACCTAGGATGTGCCTGGCCTTCTAATACTTGTGGAGTTGATTAATTTGCCAGTCTGATAGGTGAAAGATCGTAATTTGTTTTAATTTCTTTTTTTTTATATAACTGTTGTTTCTGGGTTTGGGCGGCTGGCTGGTATGGGAATCCTAACCCTTGACCTTGGTGTTATCAGCACCACGCTCTAACCAAGTGAGCTAACTGGCCTGCCCAATATTTTTGAAAACTACTTAAGTTGAATATTTTTATTGTCTTGATTGGCCATCTTTACTTCTGGATTCTGCCTGTCACATATTTTTCTATTGGAGCATCTACCTTTTGCATAATTTATACTTTTGCATGAATTTTAGGAGCTTTTAACACTTTATGAATGATATCCCTGATGGATGGTTTTCTCTAGTAATTCATTTATGTTTTTATGTGACAGAGTCTGAGAGTGGGACTGAGAAGGAAGTATCCATTATAAACCAGAAATGTTCTGAAGAAGTGAAAACCTCAGAATTTATGTCAAGAAGCTTCTTAAGGGGTACTCCACAGGCACCTGAGTTTCAGGAAGCTTGGGACCAGGAGGACAAACTAGAAGGGCACCCAGGAAATTCTGTTGGGCAGAGTTTGAAGAAACCCAGTCTTCACAAGAGAGTTTTCAGAGAAGCTGTCATGTATAGGGAAAGATCTCCAGGAGAAAGAACCCAAGAGTGTGGTGCATTTGATAAAAATTTGAGTCTGAACCAAAATGTTGTTAGACTTCAGAGAAATAAGACAGGAGAGAGAGTCTTTAAATGTGACATATGCAGCAAAAGCTTCAAATATAATTCAGACCTAAGTCGACATCAGAGAAGTCACACTGGGGAAAAGCCTTATGCATGTCGTCAGTGTGGGCGAGCCTTTCGTCACAGCTCAAGCCTCATGTTGCACCATCGAGTTCACACTGGAAATAAGCCATTTAAATGTGATGAATGTGGGAAAACTTTTGGGCTCAATACTCACCTCCTTCTCCATCGGAGAATCCACACTGGCGAAAAGCCTTTCGGGTGTAGCGTATGTGGGAAGGCCTTCAGTCGAAGCTCTACTCTTATTCAGCATCGTGTAATTCACACAGGAGAGAAACCTTACAAATGTAGTGAATGCGGGAGAGCCTTCAGCCAGAGCCCCCAGCTAACTCAGCATCAGCGGATCCACACTGGAGAGAGGCCGCACGGGTGCGGTCAGTGTGGGAAGGCCTTCAGTCGGAGCTCGAGCCTTATCCAGCACCAGCGAATCCACACTGGAGAGAAGCCCCACAAGTGCAAGCAGTGTGGGAAGGCCTTCAGCCAGAGCTCGAGCCTTTTTCTCCACCACAGAGTCCACACTGGAGAGAAGCCCTATGTGTGTGGTGAATGTGGCAGAGCTTTTGGTTTTAACTCTCACCTCACTGAACACGTGAGGATCCACACTGGAGAGAAGCCCTACGTGTGTAAGGAGTGTGGCAAAGCCTTTAGTCGGAGCTCCACTCTTGTTCAGCATCGAAGAGTTCACACCGGGGAGAAGCCCTACCAGTGCAGGGAATGTGGGAAAGCCTTCAGCCAGAGCTCGCAGCTCACCCTCCACCAGCGCGTGCACACTGGAGAGAAGCCCTACGAGTGTGGCGACTGTGGGAAGGCCTTCAGCAGGAGGTCGACTCTCACTCAGCACCAGAGAATTCACACGGGAGAGCGTCGCGAGTGCAGGAAACGTCCAGCCTTTGTTCATGGCTCCAGCCTTACACCGCACAGACAGATTCCCACAGGAGCCTTCAACCGTGCTGCAAACCTTGTTGTGCATTGGACAATTCACACTGGTGAGAAATCCTTTGGATGTAATGAATGTGGGAAAACTTTCAGTCCCACCTCACAACCCACTGAAGATCAGAAAGTGCATGCTGGGGAGAAACCCTATAAACGTCAAGGATGTGGAAAAGCCTTCAGTGGGGGTTCAACACTCATTCAACGTCAAGTAATTCATACTAGTAAGAACCCGTATCGTGGCTGTGTGTGTGAGAGAGACTTCAGCTGGAGCACACGGCTCACGCCGCAACAGCGAGCTCCTGTTGGGGAGAAGCCCCCTTTACGTGATGGGTCTGAAAGATACTTTATCCATATCAAAAAGATTTTCCAAGAAAGACATTTTTAATGTGATAATTGTGGGAAACAATTTAGCAGTTCTTTTTATGTTGGATAAGACGGCGTAATGAAAGTTAAAATCAGAAGGTCTAAGTATTACTAGCAAAGCAAAATAAACAGTTCAGGCGACTATTAGTCATTAAATTTGAAAGCAAACATGAGAGAATTCACTGTGGAAAATAGGGTTGTCTGGGTCGAGGTTGCTCTTGTGCTCAGGCGGGGAACTGGGTGGCACCATGCTCAGATGCTCACGGTGAATGACCTGAGAGCCGAGAAGTGAGCCCACCTAGTCTACGCTATGTGAGCATTTCTAGTCTTATCTCATCTGTGCTATCTAAGCTCAGGCTTGTAGCTGAGAATATCCAGTTCTAGTCCTACACGCCTGCCTCTGGGTGTGGTGCAGAGAGCCTTGGCCTGTCTCCCCCACCATCCCATAGAACAGCTGCAGGCGGGAGCCCCTTCCTCACTTGGAGCCCGAGCCCGGTTTTTGCATTTGTGAAATGAAAGTTGGTTGTTTGCTTTTAATTCTAAGGAGCGCTACAGTTCAGCTGAGAAGGGGACCTCGGGGTCCAGTAAAGCAGGGGGCTGCCAAGTAGCTCCACGTTTGAAAATTGTAATTACTGATAAGATTTTTTTAAGTCAAGTTTATTAAGGTATAATTTATATATGAGAATTCACTTTTTTCATTGTGTAGTTCTCTGCGTTTTAACAGAAACATACAGTTGTGTGACCACCACTGTAAACAAGGTGTGGGACTTTCCATTGCCCCCCGAAACCCCTTTGTGCCCTTGTGGTCAGCCCCTCCTCACCCCCAGCCCTGGGAGCCACTGTCTGTCTTCTGTCCCAGCAGCTTCCCATTTTTAGAGCCACATTGCGTGCAGCCTTTCCAACCTGGCTGCTGCTGCTGCTTTTTTTTTTCAGTAGGAAGAAAAGGCATAACAAGTGTTATTATTTAACGTGCTGGGAGAAGGCAAGGCGTGAGGGAGTCACCAGAGAGTCTGTCCCCTTCTCTCAGCACGGTGCGTTGGAAGTTCATCTGTGTTGTGTGCGTCAGCAGTCTCTCACTGCTGAGCAGTGTCCCGTCGTGTACATGTCGCAGCTTATGCATTCGCTCATGGAGGGGCATTTGGGTATTTCCAGTTTATGGCGACTGTGAATAAAGCTGCTATGAACATTTCACTACAGCTGTTTTGTGAACTTAACTTTTCAGTCCTGTTGGGTAGACAGCTAGGGATCAGATCACTGGGTCACACGGTAAGCTTATATTTAACTTTTTAAGAATCTGACAAACTGCTTTTCCAAAATGGTTATGCCAGTTATGTTCTCACAATGTGTGAGAATTTAGTTGCTTTGAATCCTCACCAGATCTTGGTATTGCCAGTTTTTTAAATTACAGCCATATTGGTGGAGATGTAATGACATCTCTGTGTTTTAATTTGCATTTACCTTTTCTTTTTTTTCTGGCAGCTGGCCAGTAAGGGGATCCGAACCATTGACCTTGGTATTATCAGCACCTTGCTCTAACCACCTGAGCTATCCAGCCAGCCCCGCATTCCCTATTAACTGTAATTTGATCAATAAGCTTCTATTTAAAAGCGTTTCACTGGGAAGTTTGAAAAATACTGGAGTATTTAATCTCCGGTGGCCTGGCCACCTCTGAAATCATGATTTTGCAATTCTGAGACTCCACCAGGAAGAATCTTTTTTCTAATCCACTTGTCATTCCCTCCAGGCCCAACTGAAGTATCACCCCCTTCAAGGAGCCTTCCTCAGTTAATTTCTTCCTCTGTCCTTACAGGGTTTTCTTAGGAAATCTGGGGTCACTTATGTGTTCAACATTCATTCTGTGATTTGCTGCACTCATCCCCCTCCCGTCCCCACGTCCTGTCTCCCCTGCTATATTGTTAAAGTTTTTAAGCACAGAACCTTTTCTGAGTGTGGGCTCAGCCAGCTCCAGCGTAGTCCGTGTGGAAGGCTCTGCAGACACGTGGAAGAGGGGGTGGGGAGCACAGGCTAGGCCAAGGGTCCCTTCTGCCTGTGCCACGGGCTCACGCCGACCTCAGGTAAAGCATCTAATCTTTCTGGGTCTCTTTTTCTTCATCCCTAGAATGGGGATAAAAACTGTTGCCTCACGTAAAGTGTATCCTTCGGAAGAGGAGAGCGTTCCTCATATCCTGCAGCTCAGCCTTCGTGGCCCCACCACGGCAACTCACGTTTTATTTTCCTTTTTCTACCTGGCTCCAGCATTATACTGGGAGCTCTCTGCTGTCAGAGATACTGTCTTAGGCACCTTTTTATCTCCAGCACATGACACAGGATAGGTGCTTAAGATGCATTTGGGAAGGAAGAAAGGAGAGAAGGGAGGGAAGAAAGGGAAACAGTGTCACGAAAGCACTTTGTATAAATGTGAAACACTCTACAGTAGACCCCTTATCCGTGGGGGGTACATTCCGAGACCCCCAGTGGATCCCAAAACTGGGTGGTACCAAACTATATACTGTTTTTTCCTATACCTACCTACCTATGATGAAGTTTAATTTGTAAATTACACACAGATATTATCAACAGTAATTATTATTAGTTATTAAATAGGACAGTTGTAACAATATACTGTAATAAAAGTTATCTGAATGTGATCTCTCGATATATACTTATTTTGTCGTAACTGAAACCATGGAGAGCGTAACCTCAGATAAGGGGATGCTACTGTATTAAAAACATCTAGAATCATATCTTTTTAAACTTAGAACAATAATCCGCCCCTCACCAAGATAATCAGGAAGTGCAGGGAGAGATCGAACATAGAAGGGAAATTACAGACAAAGCCACCCTTGCAAGCCGTATACTCAACCTACTTCTAATGGCTCAGGAAAAAACGAAAGAGAAGTGATAAAGTAAGTGTGGCAAAAGTTAAGAGTTGGTGAATCTGAGTTAAGGTTACTTGGGAGTTCTCTGTATTACTGCAGCCTTTCTATAAGTTTGAAATTATTTCAAAATAAGAAGTTTAGGGAGATGTTGACCAAAGGATACATTTCAAACAGGAGTAAGTTCAGGAGATCTATTGTGCAACATGGTGACTGCAGTAAGTAACAATGTGTATTCCTGAGAATTCCTAAGAGTAGATTTTAAGTGTTCTCACTACAAGAAAATGATAGGAAGGTAAAACATGTTAATTAGCTTGATTTAGCCATTCCACAATTTGTACATATTTCAAAACTATGTTGTACACTATATAGAGAGACTATATATATGTATGTATGTATGTATATACAGAAGAGAGACAATCGTCTATAGACAATTCTTATTTGGCAATTTAAAATATAAAAAAATTTTAATTAAAAATTTTAAAAATAGGCAAAACAACTAATATCCTCTCTAAATCTGTGTGATCCAAAGGCAAGAAAAGTCGACATGCATAAGGTAACTATAGAAAAACTACAGTCCCTGCTTCTCCCACATTTATTAAACAACTATGAAATCCAAGGAGGAAAAGGCTGCCCTTTTCCATTTATCCTGAATTTCTTTTTGACCATTTCCCTTCCATGAATTTCCAATGCCTTCTCTACTGTCTTTCTTCAACATCTATTACCCAGAGCTTGAAAAATCAGTCTATTACTAAGTCTAATCTTCATTCCATTAATTTATAAACCTTGGGCAAATAATTCATTGTCCTTTAATAATTATAAATCAAGTATTAAAATATTAAATGTTCAACTTAAGCTAGACCAAAAAAATTAGAGTAAATCTTAAGAGGAAAAAAAGTGAAATTTTAAAAAAGAAAACAATAGGCAAAAACAAAAGCAAATTATTTGAAAAAAGATACCAAAAACACAAGCAACAAAATAGAAATACTAAACCACATCAGAATTTAAGAACTTTGGTGCTGCAAAGAGTACTATCAAGAAACTGAAAAGACAACCCACAGCAGGGTGAAAATGTTTTCAAACCATCTATCTGCTAAGGGATTTGTATCCAGAATATAGAAGTAACTTACAACTCAGTAATGAAGGGCTGGTTAGTCAGCTCAGTTGACTATAGTGCAGTGTTGTAACACCAAGGTCAAGGGTTCAGATCCCTGCACTGGCCAGCCGCAATGTGACAAATAACTAAGAATGGGCAAATGATTTGAATAGATATTTCTGCAAAGAAGATACACAAATGGCCAATGACCACATGAAATGATGCTCAATATCACTAGTCATCAGACAAATGCAAATCAGAAGCACAATGAGACACCATTTCACATCAAACAAAAAACAACAACAAAAAAACCCCCAGACAATACCAAGTGTCAGCAATAATTTGGAGAAATTCAAGCCCTTGTGCATTATACTGACAGATGCGTACAGAATGGGAATGTAAAATGGAGCAGCTGCTTTGGAAAAGTTTGGCACTTCCTAAAAAGTTAAACCTGGAGAAACAAGATTCTCAAATTCAGGCTAAGGTTTTCTTTTGGGACTTGTTTTGCCCCTTCCGGGCAGGCGCTTCACCATCTCCATGCACCTGGCTCCTCCTCAGCACCTGCCTCTCTTGGTCAGTGGCTGCCCTGAGGCTTCCAGACCCACTATTTACATCTCCCAGGGGCAGCCCTCAGCAGTGACCACAGCTGCAGAGTGCACGTGCCCCAGCTCCCTGCATCCTGAAAGCACAACGAGGCGCTGTTGCAGTGAGTTCTGTGAACTCACGGGGAGAGGCAGGAAACACTGAGGCTTAAAACAGGAAAACAGAGCTTGTTGATATGCCCGCATTGTCTCGGCGGACTCCAGTCCAAAGGCTGAGCCCCGAACGCAACGGGGCTGTTATTTATATCACAACATTTCTGGGTTTTTGTTAACAGAGCAAGAGAACTGGTCTTATGAGCTTATATGGTTATGACTTTGTCTCAGGGTGGAAAATTAGAAGCAGAAGCAGGGTGGTAAGACTGTTACAGCGGTCTGTGCTAACCACTGCGTAAAACAAGGCCAGGGTGCAGTTGCAGCTGAGTCTGTACGACATGCGGGCAGGGGCCCGGGCTACAGCGTGGCCTGGCACAGCACGGGTGCCCAGAGGCCACAGCCGGGCGAGACAGCGGGGTGAGTACGAGAGCCTCAGCGCGGCACGGCCCCGCACCCCTCTGAGTCACTCTGAGAACTGGTCTTATGAGCTTATATGGTTATGACTTTGTCTCAGGGTGGAAAATTAGAAGCAGGGTGGTAAGACTGTTACAGCGGTCTGTGCTAACCACTGCGTAAAACAAGGCCAGGGTGCAGTTGCAGCTGAGTCTATACGACATGCGGGCAGGGGCCCGGGCTACAGCGTGGCCTGGCACAGCACGGGTGCCCAGAGACCACAGCCGGGCGAGACAGCGGGGTGAGTACGAGAGCCTCAGCGCGGCACGGCCCCGCACCCCTCTGAGTCACTCTCCAGGCCGCTGCGTGGTGCTGGCCCTGGTGTGGCCTCCCTTCCTTCCCGGGCCCGCTACTAGCCCTACTGTAGGCTCTGAACCACTTTTCCCCGAACCCTCATCTCAGGGTCTGCGTCTGGGACCAACCGGACGGCTGGCGTTGCCTTCGCAGGCGTGTCATGAGCCGCGCGCACCCCTCGCTGCAGCCCGAGAGCGCCGCGGAGCCGGCCTCCCACCTCTTCCCCGGGGGAGGCCGGGCGCCCGCACCGAAAGGCGGTGCTTCCCGAAGCCAGGGCCAAGGGCCCCACGACGCCGGGGACACGCCTCTGGAAGCGTCTACCCATGAGGGATGCGTGGGGCGGAGCCGTTGCACCCCGAGCCTGGCGGAGGCCCAGAGCTTCGCGGTCACAGGCGCAGCGCAGGGACAGGGGTCGGCCCGGATCAGCGGTGGCAGGCGCGGGAGCTCGGAGGAGCGGAGAGGCGGCCTCCCGCCTCCACCGAGCGCTGAGGCACCCGGGCGCGGCGATTCCCAGGACCCAGGCGGGCCGGCGACCCAGACCCCGCGCTGCGCGGGACGGACACACTGGACAGGTGGCGGGGGCGGCCCCAAGGCCCCGGCAACCGGGCCCCGGCAACCCCGGCCA